TGTTGAAGTTACACGTTCATTATTCTCGTCTCTTCGCAAACAGGAGTCTTTCTCTTTGTCATTGTTCCATTGCCAATATGGCTTCATCCCCCTACGTCTCTCTGGTTGGTTAAGTATGGGTCTATCTCGTCGACAGAAAAGTGATGCAGATGAGGAAGATCCAACGCTGTCCTTTTGAGATATGATATTTTCAATGACAGATTCTATATCACCATTATGTTGCCGAAGAAGGCTGAGGTTTTGCTCCCTGTCTGTAAAACCCATCTCATGAAGGTATTCTAGTTCGCGATCTAAAGTAGAATTTGAATCCTGACTTTCATTATTTGTCAATGGGAAACTGCCGGGAAATGGAGGGAGAGAAGTGACCGGCTTTGGCAAAGTAAGCTGAGGGTTGAGAGGTGGTGGTGGGAGACTGAACAACGGAGGTGGTGGTGGTGGGCCTAAAGGTGTAGGGGGTGGTGGCGGCACATGAGGAGGAGGTGGTGGTGGCGGCGGAAGTGATATATTGTCGGCAAATCGAGATTGGCGATTTAGACCCGCGTTAAAACGAGATCTCTGTAATGTATGTGATACTGGAGTGATCGGATGATGGTTTCCAGGCAAAAATTGGAATACAGGAAAACTGTTATTGTATATGAATTTTTATACATGTTATTTGAACCCAATTTTTGTAACATTCAATTCCACAACACATCTTTTGTATTTATGCTTTTTTTTTTGTGTATTATTATTACTTTTTTTTTTTTTTTTTTTTTGTCACCTCTTTTTTTTTTTTTTACGCTATTTATTAACAACGATTTCACTCAATTATCATTGATTGAGCTATGTTATGATCCTACTTATAATGTGCGTGGTTCGACGTTTGCAATCCATGAAAGATCAAATTTTGCTTGAGGGTTCGCTTCTACACGTCTTAACATTTAGCGCTGTAATTATAGACTCCTTAAAATTTCGCATGTATGACTTAAACCTGATGGCCTTAACGTTTATCTTTTTCGTGTAGAAATCATCCTTAAATTATATGATTTTGTCTTGTGTTTTCTTCCGGAAAATTCAAAATCATTAATAAAACAAAAATAATCATAGTCCTGAAGTTGCGGAATTTTATCTATAGTTACTACAGTTTTAGATTACGATGCTTAATGAATATTCTCATTTATTTTTATTTTTTTATTTTTTATGATACTTTCCAGCTATGTAACTTCACGATTAACGTAATTTAATTGAATTTTCTTATGTGATTTGCGAAGTAGTACGCATTCGTATAGAGATCCGTTCGGTCCGGACTGAAACATAAGCTAACTTTTTGATTGGTCAAGCATGTTCGGAAGTAATCGGAATTGTAGATAATCAAGCAGTATAAAAGTTCAGGTGAGACCGTCCCCAATATGGAAATAATGACCTGAGTCACCCGATTGTTACACAACTGATAAACAATTTTTTTTTATATGTTTTACAATACTATATCCCGACCTATGAAATTCGATTAAAAATTTAATATATCCAAAACTACTTTTTATAAGTTTGGTATAATAGTTTACTATAGTGATAGATATATTGAAGAATTAATAACAAATACTGATTTATGCTAAGTAAATATATAGTTTATTGCATTTACACTTTAAAAAGATTAAATGATTTGTAGTTACAAAAGAGGCAATTAGCTAAATGTATATAAAGATACAAATAATCATATAAACAGGTTTATTATTTCACTTAAGTTATTTATATATAAAGATACTATAACTGATCTACTATTTTATTTGAGTTATCTGTGTATGAAAACACGATTACTCTTTAGAAAATTGTTATTTGTATGATTTATTCAATAAAGTATTCGAGTTGTTTGTGTATGAAGACATGATTACTCTATTTTTATTGTTAAGTTGTTGGAACTTTATAAGTTTCAATTTCGCTAGAACCACAGAACTATGAAAGGTGTTAGTGCTATTAGCACTACTATCGCTACTAGCGCTATTGCAGCATCCCTTGGTGTTACATTATGGTTATTTTGTCACATGATACTAATTACAGGGGTTAACAATAACCCATACATTAGTTATAGTGTCTCCATACACGGATAACTAGGAGAATAGTAATAAACTCTTATACGACTACTTTGTATCTTCATATACATTTAGCCGTTGCCTCTTTTGTAACTGCAAATCATCCTAATCCTCTTACAGCGTAACTGCACCGAAACTCTATATCTTTACTTAAGCATAAATCAGTATTCGTTATCTAACACATCCGTCGCTAAAGTAAACAGTTATACCGAACTTAAGAGGTAGTTTCGGGTGTAACAGTACATAGGAGGTATTATTAATATTGTAGGACTCCACTATTGAAATGATCAAAATCCCTTTTGGTTTTAGTATTATAATAACTTCTTAAAAATAGATCGAACAAGATTATTACTATGCTAACTACTCTAAAACAACAAGGGGTTTTGATCATTTTCAATAGTGGAGTCCTACAACACTAATAATACCTCCTATGTACTTTTTTTTCATTTATTCTTTGT